GTCATGGTATACATAAAAGTGCTACTACAGGTCAAATCATGTAGCGATCCTTGATAGTGAAGTGAACAAAATTTGTTATCAAATGTTTCTCCACATTTTGTTCATTTACTAAATGTTATACGTAGTGCTGCCCTCTTGTTTTCTAGCATTTCTTCGCTTGCTTGATTCATTTATCACAAAACACGCTAATTCGTTTTCCATCAGGAAGGAGGGGGTGGTGATCTAGGCATCATATTTAACTATAAAATTTATGGCTATGAATGTTCAGTTCAAAACATATAGTGCTTCTACTGTTGTGGAGATATGGTTTAGTCCTGATATGACATCCTGAATTGTTGCGTGTTTCGTCTACTCTGAAATTCATTGGTTTTCTAGAGACATTGGTATCCTTCTTTTTCGCCTTTTGCTTTTAAGAGGCTTCCTTCATTTAATCTTGAGCATGAAGAATTTGCGGGAGGATTGTGTAGCAAGTGAAAAATCGCTCCGCAAGGATTTCTAAAATGCACTGGCTTGAAAAACGAATGCTTTTGTCATATCATCAACACCTGAAAAACTTGCATTTCTATCTGCCTACTAGTAGGAAGAAAATCATGTTGAATGTATGGTTGCTGCGGCTCAGTTCCTATATGCGAAGGAGTCGATTCGTAAAAAAATGTATGAGCGTAAATTTAAACAGCGTACAGCAAGCAGGTGAAAGTCTACTGTAAACAATCTGCGAATTACTTTGAATTTATTTTCGTCTCTTCTAGATTGTTTGCCATTCGCGCAAAAATAGCTCCATGCTCATTTTTTTGTTGAGTATAGTTGTCGAGCACATCATAGGGGATGACTGGCCAGATGGTGGCCCCTTCACTACATAATACACAGACACCAAAGTTCCCCCTCCCCGCTTACACACAGAACTTTCAAACCTTCTACCAGTTCGTTTTGAAGTAGTCAATGTGGTCTTCAGTAAAAGGGGCGTGTGCTGGGGGCTATTTCGGGGCTTGCGCTGCAACGATACCGTAGGCACCGCCCATGTCTAGAGAGCAGTAGTGGTGATGGAGCGTGCGTTGCCACCACTCCCGTACACGATCTTACCGTTGACACATGATCCATGGCCTTTGGACCAAAAAGATCAACATTCAACGACGACACATATTCCGTCCTATTCATCGTCGCTGCTTCTGAAAGCGTTGCTGGCGGCGTTTGTGCTGGTGATGATCATCGTCACCGTGGTCGGCAACGCACTGGTCTTTCTGGCCGTCGTTATGGTGCGGAAACTCCAACAACCGGCCAATTTTCTCATTGTTTCTTTGGCCATTGCTGATTTTTGCGTCGGAATGCTGGTGATGCCACTTGCTCTCGTTGATCTGCTTTTTCCACAATGGCCCCTGGGCAGGTATGTTTTCGTTTCAAGTCCATTTTTTTCTGTCGAATGTTTTTCGGAATGTACGCGCGCCAGTGCTTGCAGTTTTTATGCCATTGGACGTAGCCGTAAAAAATCATACGAGAGTGCAGAGTCACTTCAAAACAGCTACAGCTCAAAAGAAATGCTGGCAGCTTCTATTCGGGCCATTGTTCTCTGCAAATCCAAACTTCACTTGCTTGATTTGACTTGTTAAGACGCGTTTTTTTAAATCCTCTTGCGAAAATTAGATTACTGCGAGGTATGTCTGAAAGAAAGTGCGTCTATTTTTGATTCACACATAGAAAATCTCCAACAAAAAGCTTCAAATGAGCGATGATCGCGTTTTGTCGCCAAGAGACTTCTCATAGAGAATTCGCCTTTGTTTCAAAGTATGTTTTAGGTCGATGTGCAAGTTATGGACGACTGCCGACCTGACTCTTTGCACAGCTTCCATAGTGAGCCTATGTGCAATATCTGTGGATCGCTACCTCGTCATCACAAGGCCTTT